GCAAATTGCAGAGATACCATTTGACCCAGCAATTCCACTATTGGGAATATATCCCAAAGAGACCATAACTGACACCCAAGCAGATATATGCACACCCATGTTTATCACAGCTTTGTTCATAATAGCAAGGAGCTAGAAACAACCTAAGTACCCATCAACGAACGAATGGGTAGAGAAGCTGTGGTATATTCACACAATGGAATACTACACTTTATTGAAAAACAAAGAGCTCATGCAATATTATTCAAAATGGGTGACCCTGGAGGACATTATGCTGAGTGAAGTATCTCAGTTAAAAAAGGACAAATGCTGGATGGTGCCACTGCTGTAAAACAGGACTGACCTCTGGGATGGGGGGAAGACAGAGAAACATGGTCCAATAATGTATACTGCATTAAAACAGATGAGGGAGGAAACTGTTTAAAAGGGATATATGATTAGGTATTTTTGTCTTTATGGGAGTCCCGAGAGAAGGCTGCATAGTACAGTGGACCTGGGAGGAGGGATTGTATAACACTGAAAGAATTTTTCTTTTACTTTTCCAAGAGGGTAGTGTACTGGGTGGGAGGGTTGGGAGGGGAGAAAAGTGCAACAATGAATGAATGGAAATCCAAAGTCTCTGTAAATTTTCATTGAGATTAATAATGATGTTGTTGTTGTTGTTACGTGCCGTCGAGTCATTTGCGACTCATAGCGACCCTATGTACAACAGCCCTAAACCCTGCTCTATCCTGTGCCAATCTCATTGCCTCTGACACACCCATCCCAATTACCCCAGTCACTGAATCAATCCACCTCACAGAGGGTCTTCCCCTCCTGTGCTGTCCCTCCACCCTGCCCAGCATGATGTCCCTCTCCAAAGACCTGTCTCTCCTTACAACACGTCCAAAGTATGTCAGGCGAAGCCCCAGAATCTTTGCCTCCAAGGAGCAGCCTGGTTTAACCCTCTCTAGGATGAATCTATTTGTTTTCTTGGCAGTCCATGGTACATTCAGTACTCTTCTCCAGCACCACAGTTCAAAGGCGTCAATTCTCCTTCTATCCTCCCTAGTCATTGTCCAGCTCTCTGATGCATAACAAGTGATTGCAAAAACTATGGCCCGTATCAGGCACACCTTAGTCTCCAGAGAGACACCGTTGCTCTTGAGTACTTTAGAGAGGTCCCTAACCGCAGACTTTGCCATCGCAATACGTTTTTTGATTTCCTGGCTACTGGTGCCAAGAGTGTTGACCATGGAGCCGAGCAAACTGAAGCTGTGAACAATCTCAATCTCTTCACCATCCATCCTGATGCTACCGATTGGTCCAGTGGTGAGAATCTTTGTCTTCTGGACATTGAGCCTCAGTCCATATTGAAGGCTGCGGTCCTTGACCCTCTTTGTCCTGTAAGAGTAACAATACCTCACTGTTCTTGCTTATTGGGTGCCACTGACTTGGTTCTGGCTCACAGTAACCTTGTCCAGTAGAATGAAACCCTGCCTAATCCTATGTCCTCACAATTGCAGCTGTGCGTGAGCCCACTGTTGTGGTCAGTGTGCCAATCCTCCTCCTTGTCTCCTGACCTTCAACTTGACCCACTGTCATGTCCAACTGCCAAGTCTGTGAGAGAAAGCTTTGCTATCTTTGCCTCCAGGGAGCATTTGGGTGGTATGCTTTACGTATTTGTTTTGTTTATAACCCGATCAAGTCCTACTTATCCAAAAGGCATCTGTGGCTTCAGGATAGATGGTTAAATGTTTTACTAGGAGCTGAAAGGCGAGCAGCTTGTACCTACTAAAGGTGCCTCAGGCGACAGGCCTGGCAACCTACTTTTGAAAAAAAAAAATCCGTTCTTTTTCAGAACCTTATGGACCTGTTGAGTCACCATGAGTTGAGTTCAACTCAGTGGCAACTGGCTGATAATAAAGTCCTCTGCCTCCTCTTACGGCTTTTGACTTTGCTGAGCACAAGGTTCTGCAGAGGAGGAAACAGCCAGTCCTGAATTTCTCCTCCATTTGTGTTAATCGCCTCATTTTTCCCCCCTTTTCTCCCTCTTGGTAACAAAATATGCTTTCTGAGTCCAGAGGAGGGTGATTTGTAATTTATGGATTTCTCTCTAGAAATTACAAGCAGAACCTAATTTTAAAAATCAAATTGGTTTCATCTAATTAAATTTGGAAATTGCCTCATAAACACACTCTCCGTTATAAATGTCCTCAAAAGCAAGGCTCCCCCTCTTGCTGTCTGGGGCAGGACTGGGCTGAGCCCTGCATGGGAAGGCCTCTGGAGCTCTGCTCAAGGACACGCCCTCCTAACAACTGCTGATGCTTTCTAAAGAGGACTGTGGTCTGGAGCAAAGCTTCCTGAACTTTTATACCCATATAGACCACCTGGGGATCGTAGGAAAACAGATTCAGAAAGAGTCTGGGGAGGGACCAGAGATGCAGCATTTCCACCCAGCTCCCAGATGACGCTGATGCTGCATCTCCAGTAAAGGAAGTGAGACAGACACAAGAAACTCGTTCAAGGCCATTCAGCTCTTACATTGTGTAGAGGGAATGGAACACCTGTCGGTGAGCTTCAAAGCATATATACTCTTAATCACCATGCAACACACTGAGTAGAACCCAAGGACAAGACGTCAGCATCTGTATTCGAGACATGAAGTTGGCATACTGGCTTTATGGCCTGGGGTGGGGGGGTTGGTGTAATTTCGTCTCTCGAGTCTCAGGGTCTTGACTGTCCTGTGAGGCTAAGAAAATTCACCTCTACCAACGTTTCTAGATGCCAACCACTGGGTTCAACACACATTCTATCAGCACCTGTGAGGTCAAATGTATTATCACCTGGTTTTCAGATGAGAACATAAGTTGCTAAAACTGCTGTCAGGTAGATAACTCTTCTTCTGGGGAGAGCTGGACTTAAGGTTCACAAGCTTTATTCTGGAGGTGTTTTCTTATATCCTATACGTGCTGGTGGATCTCCTTTAGGGAGCTCCTGGGTCCATCTGATTAATTCTGAACTTTTTTTTTTTCATCAGTCCTAGACTCTACCCTGGAGCTAGTCCTTTATGGTTGAGCATTCTTCCCAGCCCACTTTTAGCAAGTGTGTTATTGGTCTTGTCTTTGAAGCTGAGGGATACCTATGTCCATTCCTTCCTTTGACTTCCTATGGGAAACCTGAAGCAGAGGTCATTAGCTCCAGTTTACAGGCGAGGAAAGCAAGACTTAAGGAAAGGAGAAATCTGCTGAAAAGAATGTGAAATTAGGGCAGACATGAGCTACTCTATCTTTCCGGCATCAGCTTCATGCCTTTAGTCAGCATCTCTGAGTCTTTCTATTAATACCACAGGCAAGTTCATGGTATCAGAGAATAAGAGTTGGGAAGGCATTCACCTTCTCTTCCTCCCAACAGTTGAATCTTATTTATATATGTTGTTGTGTACAGTTGAGTTGGAATCAACCCATGGCTGACCTTCTAGCTAGTTTTCAGAGGCAGTTAATCGCATGGAAGGAGACTGCCCATCCTTCTCTCATGGAGCAGCTGGTGGATTCAAACCACATGCCTTTGGGATTGCAGTGCAGCTTCTTGCCACTAGGCCACCAGACTCCCTTTATATACAGGTATCAGAATGAGCGTCTTATTACTTGGCTTTGTCTATTGTGTAATGAAGGCTTCTCTATAGTTGTAGTTTTATAGTTTTTAGACAGCTCTGTTGTGCTGATTTAAGGGGTTTATTCCTACATGAGGAGACTATTTCCTGTCTCTAATATGATAACCTATTCACTGCCATGGGGTCCGTTCCAATGCACAGTGACTGTATAGGATGGAGTAGAATGATGTTGATTATTTCCTTAGAGAAGTAAACCATCTCACCTTTCTTCCATGGAGTGGCTGATGAGTTCAAACTGTAGACCTTCTGTTTAGAAGTAAAATTCTTTAACCACTATGTCATTAAGGCTTCGTCTCATAAACCCTTGCTCGTTAATGTGGAGAGATGGTACTTCAGCCACCATTACATGAGAATCAAGAGATGAACTGCATTGGGGAAGCCTGCTGTCAGGGACCTCTCAAGAGTGCTGAGGAGCAATGGTGTCAGTCTAGAGACTAAGGTGCACCTGATCCAGGCTATGGTCTTTGCAGTTACATGTTACGCATCAGAAAGCTGGAAAATTACTAAGGATGACAGAAAAAGAATTGATGTCTTTGAGTTGTGGTGCTGGAGAAGAGTACTGAACAAACCACGGACCACCAGGAGAACAAATTCGTCTATGTTGGAGAGAGTGAAATCAAGTTTCTCCATGGAAGCTAGGATTTTAAAGCTCCATTTCAAATACTTTGGGCATGTGGCCAGGAGGGACCAGTCCTTGGAGGACATCATGCTTGGAAGGGTGTAGGGGACAGCACAGGAGAGGAAGACCCTGGATGAGATGGGCTGACATGGTAATTTGGGGCCATGGCATTAGGTGTGTTGAAGTCAGTGAGACTGGCTCAGGACAGGGCAGGGTTCAGAGCTGTTGTATATAGAGTCACTATGAGTTGCAGTCAACTTGATGGCAAGTAAAAACATGAGGTTGACTAAACGATATACTTGGGATATTGAGCATTTTCAGTTTCAAAAATCTTGTACCTTCAGGGTAGAAAATGACACAGACTTTTTTGAAGGTGAAGGAATTACATGGGTGGGGCGGATCATCATGGTTTCCTAGCTTAAACCATGGCTTGGCTGTTGCCTGCGATGTCGGGACTCTCTGACTGTGTGAGTCCCAGCTCTGCTGCTGAAAAGATCAACCCCCGTCATACTCAATGTCCACACTTCTTAACTGCAGATAGAAAGACAGCTCGATTGTGTCCCTTTGCATTTCCTGCCCATTGTACTGTCTGAGCCTTTAAGGAAATTGTCTTATCGCATTTATATCCTCCCTAAGAGAGGGCTCAACACACAATAGGTTTTTGCCAACCTCAGGCTGAAGGAAACTGAATAAGCGAAGTGAATTGATGCCGTCTACAGGCCTCCTTACCTCATAGAGGGTGATGACCCCATTGGTCTCATTGGGAGGTTTCCACTGGATGTAGATCTTCTCTTCGAAGGGACCCCCTTGGATAGATTCTAGAGGAACAGCTCCTGGAACTGCAGAAGGAAAGAGCCGTGAACTGGCGAACATCTTCCATTTCATTTCCCCAGGCCTGTCACACCAGAGCCAACCCCAAAATCTAGCCCACTGCCCTGAGCAGAGTCCATCTGATGGTGACCCTCCGCTCAGTCTCTGAACCGTAAACCTTAATGGGAGAAGATTGCCTCATCTTTCTGCTGCACAGCGTCTCATGGGTTTGAACTGCTGACCTCGCTGTTTCCATTTCAGCACATAACACACTACACCACTGGTGCTATTTTCTGGTTGGAGAAATAGATGCATGAATGCTGCCCTACGCCAGCATTCTTCCCTTCTGAGCACAGCCAATCTCGAGCCAGCTTCCCTAGCTGGTACTTGTCCTGCCAGAATCCTTTCCCTGACCCCTGCCATCATTACGACAGTCTGCCTGCAAGACTCTGAACTAGAAAATAAATGCTCCCCCAAACTTCCAGTCAGAAGCCCTTAGGGAGTTGGGATTCATAAAAATAATTACCAAATCTATTTCTCTTTTTTTGCCATTCTAAAAGCAGGTACTTTAAGCACTTAGGCTTTGATCAGACTTTTACATACATTATTTCAACTAAGCCACAAAATAATCTGGCCCAATGTATATTACCTCCTTTACATCTTGAGTAAAGGAACTGAGACAGACATAAGAAAGTTGCTCAAGGTCATTCCGCTCTTAAGTTGTGTAGAGGGAACTGAACACCTGTCTGTGAGCTTCAAAGCATATATACTCTTAATCACCATGCAATGCCTCTCTAGATAAAGCCTTGGCCATATGTTGCAATCAGCTCACTATTGTTATAACAAAATATATTTAGTTTTGCTCATTATGGACTTGATACATAGAATTTGTTAAATATTAAGAATATCCAAAAGAGGTTAAAAAAATTAAATTACTCATCATCCCCATATCCAAAGATAACAAATGTCTGCGTTGCGCTGTATGCCTTCCCAGTAATTTTATGCCTATGCATAAACATAGTTTATTTTTAAAAATTTAACTCCTACTGTGCACATTGTGTTGTCACCTTCTTTTATCACCAAACAAATCCCGGGCATGTTGTTAATCCTTAAATGTGCTTGGGAGCCATGCGTTTGAATGGCTGCCCGGAGGGGGCTGAGTCTGTGCTGGGCAACAGCCCTTCATCATTGGGCATTAAAGCTGGTTCGAATTCTACAGAAATATAAGTAACACTGCCATTCAATATCCCTGAAAATAAGAATTTATGTGTGACTCTGCTAATGTCTCCAAGATAAATTCCTGGGACTTAATTCAGTGGCCCAGCACGGATGAGCTCTTTTCCTTTGAAGGTTTTGTTTTGGTCAAATAGACTTTCAGGAAGCTTGTGTAGCCCAACCTCAGACTATGCCCAGTGCTCTGTCCTTGTCATCAATGTCACAGTTATTATGCTTGATAGAGTTGAGTATGACTCAGAGCAACCCGAGGAACAACAGATCTGAACCCTGTCATGTCCTATGCCATCCTCATCAGCTCTGGCATATACCTCTACCCATTGCTGCAGTCACTGCATCAGTCAATCTCCTGAAAGGTTGTCTTCCCTTTTGTCCCCCCACCCCCAGCAAAATAACCAAAGTAGGCGGGATGAATCTTCGCCATGCCTGTGTCTAAGGAAAGCTCCGCCTGCACCTTCCCTAAAATATTGCTGACTGTTCTCTTGACAGGCCATAGGTATTCAGAGCTCTTCTCCAACACAACTCAAAGGCATTGATTGTTCTTCTGCCATCCTTATTCATTCTGCCATCCTTATTCATTATCCAGCTCTCTGATGCGTATCAGGTCACTTAAATGACCATGGCTTAAAGCAGGCAAAGTTTAATCTTCAAACTGACATCATTGCTCTTGAGTACTTACGAAAGCTTTTTGTACTGCATGGTGTCACTGCTGTAAAACAGAACTGACATCAGGGTTCAGGGAGACTGAGAAAGATGGGCTCAATAAAGTATACTGCATCGAAACAGATGAGGGAGAAAACTGTTTAAAAGGTATATGAGATTAGGTATTTTTGTCATGACAGGAGTCCAGAGTGAAGGCTGCACAGTGGAGTGGACCTGGGGGAGGGTTTGTAAAACAAATAATTTTTCTTTTACTTTTCCAAGAGGGTAGTGTACTAGGGGGGAGGGTTGGGAGGGGAGAAAAGTGCAACAATGAATGAATGGAAACCCAAAGTCTCTTTAAATTTTCACTGAAATTAATAATAATAAAAAAAAAGCTTTTTGACAACAGACTATGACTAGTCTTTTTTTCCCCACCCTTGGAAACCCAAAGTCTCTGTAAATTGTCATTGAAATTAATAATAATTAAAAAAAGAAGGCTTTTTGACAACAGACTATGACTAGTCTTTTCCCCCCCACCCTTCTTTAAATAACAAAACTAAACATATGTTTTACATGTGGAGGGGGAAAAAATGTATGTGTCTATTTATATAGGGGTCAGTTGCTGACCAAAAGATGGGTGGTTCCAACCCACAAGCTCCTCCCCTGGAGAAGAGAACTGACAATCTATTACAGTAAAGATGCAAGTAGGGAACCTTATGGGGCAATTGTATTCTGCCCTACAGGGCAGATGAATCAGAAGTGACCCAAGAGGACACAACAAATGGGGGGGGGGGCAAAGGTGTGTGTGTGCATATGTGTGCATCAAGGTGATGCCAGCTCGTGGTTATGGCATTTTTCAGGGTATAGAAGGGTTTTCAAGGCCTGATTTCTCAGAATGTATCACAAGCCATCTTTTCTTTCTGTTTTCAGTTGATTCTCATTGCACAATTCCCCCGCCTCCCTCTCCTTCACTTCCTCCCCCATAATGACCCCTTGTTCCAAACTGTTCTCATGCATCTAATGTATGCTGGGGGAACCCTAACTGTGAACCTTTTGCTAGGCAGACAATATGTTACTAGCACCACCCAAGTTCAGTCCGTGTTTCTGTCTACGCACACATGAACTCACACAGGTATTTGTGTGTTTCTGTATTTGTGTAGGTGGGGCTGTCTGGCTGTTTATAATACTGTTGATGCCCCATAGCTGACTCTGCTGGGTTTTCAGAGGCAGTTAATCACACGGGAGGAGACTGCCCTTCTTTCTCCCACAGAGCAGCTAGAGGACTTGAACCACGTACCTTTGGGACTGCAGTGCTGCTTCTTCCCACTAGACCACCGGAGCTCCTTATTTAGAATACCAGTGATGGTAATTTTTTCAGTTTAATTAGCTAGTTGCATTATTTTTTTGAACATGCTCTCTATACCGTTTATTTTTCTGTAGGGAATCTCAATTTTGGTTCTGCTTTGTCTTGCAAGCTTGTAATTATTAACTGCTTTTAAGGATATAAGCTTTATTGCCTGGGTTGCAAATAATTTTGCCCGTCTCTCATTTGCTTATTAAATCTTTAGGTATATAGAGGCTTTGTAAGGAGTCAGATCTCTTGCTGATTTCCCTTACCCACTCATCCTTTCCCCAAATATTTATTGTCTTTATTACAATCAGGGGACTGTGCTGGACACCAGGGACCTTTCAGTTCAAAAAGAGAGATGTGGTTGAATCCTTCATAAAGCCTGCATTATGGGGGAGGGAACCAGACATTAAATAAACAATTATACTCACGATTAAGTCATTAAAATTGTGATAATGGCCCTTAAGTAAAAGCAAGAGTACTAGAATTAGGCCAAACAAGCCTGCTTAGTAACAAAGATAGGAAGTTGTAAAAAGCTCGAGTGAGGAAGGAGACGTAACTAGAACAGAAGCCAGAGGTATGACGCGGGCATCCAAGTACGGTGGACAGTTTCTGGGGGGGTAATAGCTGAAGGAGTAAGATCAACTAGGAGGCTCCAGTGGTCACTCTAAGGAGAGAGCAGATGTGCTCGGGCTAGGGGGACAGCACTGGAGGACAGAAGCAGATTGTTTTGGAAGAAGTGCAACTAGAGTGCTCGTTAGAAGCAAAGATAGTGAGACTGGACCTCCCATTTGTCAGGTGTGTTATTAGGAAGATCCTGCCCTGGAGACAGACATCCTGCTTGGAAAAGAAGATGCATGAACAAAAAAAGGGAGACCGTCAATGGGATGGAGGGACAGTGACTGCAGCAATGGGCTTAAACACAGCACAATCTGAGGATGGTGCAGGACAGGGCAGGGGTTCATTCAGCTGTAAAAGTGTTGCTCTGAGGCCCGGATGACTTGATGGTATTTAAAAACAGCAACACACTACCATGGCTTGGTGGTGATGGTGAGAGAAAGAACGGGAAAGATGTGAAGGCAGGCTTCAGCTCTTCTGTAACACGATTAGGAGGGTGAGTCAGGGTGTTGTTCATAAACCAAAAACGTTGGAAGAATAGCTCTGATAGGAAGCAGGTGAGGTCGTTATATCGCCATCTTTCATCTGAGGTGTGCATAGAACCTCTAACGATGGTGTCACGTAGCAGGTGGATATGTGAGACTGGAGTCAATGTTTGGAAACTGGAACCAGGGATAGGGGAGAGATCTTGCAACAAGTGTATAAAGGAGACAGAGAGAGAAGCAGCTTCTAGACTAATTCTAGAAGAACTCTGAATTAACTAGTAGGGAAGGAAGGTAGACTGAGAAGTAATGATCAGGTCATAGGAAACAAAGAACATGAGCTGCTATCACAGACCCAAGAGAGAGATTCAAGACGGTCCTGGCCAATGACGGTGCAGGTGGTTAAGAAGTCAAGGAGAGCGTGGCCCTCAATCTGTCTTGAAGGCTCCTTGTGAGAGGAACAGGGAAGTTTCGAGAGAATGTGGGAGATAAAAGCCATTCTGCAGTGGGTGGAGAAGAGACCGGTTAGGTTAGTGATGGCCTGAGGTAAAACAAGTAAATCTCAGGGGCTGTGAGGCTGAGAAAAAAAAATGCAATGACGTTATAGGACAGGGATGTGGCACCAAGGGAACGTCTCCAAACAGACACAAAGTTAGATGGCACGTTTAAAGGAAAAACGCAGATTAGAGGGAAGCAGGATTAGAGA